AGTGTGCAGAGTGCAAGGGTGGTAGTTAAACGACAACCCTTCACCTCTTAATTGCAAGAACCGTCTCAACGTTGAAAGTTTTGAATTACGGCGTACACATGGGGGTTGTGGCACTGTTATTTATGTTGTGCAATTAAAATTCGAAGAAATTCGGAAAAAGATGTGAAAAATAAATTACTGTAAGACGGGAGATAAGAGAAAATGAAAAACCGAAAATTCACCTGAAAGAAATCCACAAATATTAAATAAACAATCTTGACGTCTTGCAGAGAAAGCTAACCGAGAAAACAAAATCATGCGACAAAAATAGTTGATCGAAAATTAGTTTGAGAAATTTTACAGTACGGATTCTGTCAATACAGTGTAACCTAATTTTCACCTGTTTCGTTTCCTTTCGAAAATATCAAAAAATTGCCAAAGCGCGGGGAAGAATAAATACAAAATTGACCAGCTGCAATTGAACGTTGTTATGTAAAATAAATTTCACATCAGTAAAAATAGCGCGAATTCATTGGTTAAACCAATATTTTCCTCGAAAAAACGCCCGTATCGGCTTCGAGAATTTCGGGGTTCCCGGTCGACGGAAACGATTAAACGGGTAACGCGTTTATTGTGATTTTATGTGGCGCTATAGCGGTACAAAATGCTCGGCCCATTTCGGTGAACGTGGCTCGAAAGAGAAGCCCGTCCGAGATACTTATCAACGATCGGAGAACCGAATTTCCGCGCGATAGCGTGCATTAGATAATAATAATAATAATAATGGCGGTGATAATATTAGATAACAAAAATTATTTAGATCCGTTCGCGAACAAGTTAACCGCGCATAATTAACGGGCGAACCTTGCCGTCGTGCCCGAGCGTGCCAGGTCGCATTGATCAAACTAATCGGATCAATACGGCGAGATTATTATCGTTGAAAATGAACGGGGATAGGAATTATGCGATCTTTTTCCACCAGTTCTCCTGCCATTCTATCAGCTCATTACATCGTTTCCCAGCTGCTTGGCCCGTATTATTAATTTTTTTCTCCCCTTTCTCTCTTACTCTTTCTCTCTTTGTTCTTTTCTTCTCGTCGCAACGAAAATGGACCAATTTCTATTGTTTTCATTAACCCATTGACTTATAATGTATAAAATTCATGATGAAATTTTTGAATTTGACAAATTTATGTATTATTAACTTTGTTAAACATGAATTAAGTGTTTCTTTTGTATTATCAATCGTTAATCTTTGGAGTAACCGTAAACAGAATGAGCATCAAAATATTTTCTTTTCCTAATAAATTATTAATGATAAAGTAGTTGTATTGATCATAGTTAAGAAATAAATCATAGGGCAGAGTGTAAAAGTTTTAAACTCATTGGACAAGGAAGAGAACTTACAACACGTGCTTACTTACCGAAAATTCCCTTAAGAGGTAATTGGTAAGAAAACCGTTGCAATTATACGGATAATTTGCTCCTGCGACGTGTTCTTTCATCTGGATGATACATTGTACGGATTAAACGCGGTAAATTAACGCGACAGAGGAAAATTAAAGACGCTGAATGTTTCGCGTTAATCAGCCTAGTTATTGTGTCCCACGCTCTGTGGATCTGGTTTTCAAAATCCTCGAGCTCAGTTCGTGTAGTAGTTCCATTAACTCATCTTCCTGTCTAGCTATGTGACAACCTAAGTTAATAAATTATAGTCCTTCACGATCACATGAAAATATAATTTCCTGTGAAAGTGTAAATTTAAAAATTCAAAAATATGTTTCACATATTTAAAATAACAGACCTAAGCTTTGAATACTTTCTGATGAATTACTTTCCTTTTACTCGTAGAAACTACATTTCAATCGTAATTTAATTAACTTTTTCCCTAAATTATATTCTCCGCTAGTCCTAGTTTTTGCGGGTGCTTTCATCGGTAGATGGACTTCAAAATGAAAACCATCATACTTATTCATGATGTAATAATTAACGAAAATAATTTCAATCATTTCCGTTTCACACTTTTACTGCATATACTTTCGCCTGTCGGATCCACTATACCGAAAAAGTTCATACAATCACGGCGCAGATTGCAGTCAGTTACGATGCCACTCAGTTTACGTTCCATTTCTCGTCATAAATCTTTAACGAGGCTTTTTAATGTCGCCAACTTTCCATGTTCCCGGTAAGTTCGAGGGGAGCGCACTTTTCGAGGGTTTTGACGTTTTCAGATATCCCCGAAAGCCCGGAGACTGTCACAATACTGAGCTAAGTTACACAACAAGTTCTATGACAGTTTGACGCGAATCTGGCGCAACTTACAAACCCGTAATATCACCGCAAGGTGTCCCTGTTAAGTAAGGCCATAGTAATTTACAGTTGTGTCCCTGGACACGGTGGCACAATATAACCAGAAACAGTTCATAACAGTAATGTCCGGCAGATGTAACTAAATATTCTCACGAAACTCGACATTTGATGTAATAAATACGATTTCGACTGTCAATTCTTGTGCATATTCATCAACTTTCGGTGGAGAAATATTTTCCACCTCTGAACACGATCATGTATTAGACCACCTTATAAGTAATATGATATGATATTATTATCATGATATTATTAATATCAATATCGTTTCTTGCGATTTTTTAAAATTTTTCCAACGTTTTCAAAAATTAGCAATCGTTTGTAATATTATCACACGTTACAAGCATCCATTTAATAATTAAAATGAAAAATATTTCGACGAAAATGATATTTTAATTAACACGTAAAATATGACTTTAAAATGTTTACAATTAGTAACACATATGAAATGCAAGTTAATCAAGTGCCAGGAACGGTAATGAACGCTGTGAACGCTAAAGCGTTTTAAATATTTTTTTCCTCTCAGTTGCGTTACTGCATACCTCTGTGTATGATTTTGTATAATTTTCACGCTGTTAATTGTTAAAAATCACCGTGAAGAAAAACCGTTTTTCTTATGAATAAGCAAAATTACGCGACGCTTTTATATCTTGTAAAACGTATCAATGGGATTTCTCCAAAACCTTCATAATATCAACATTTTGCACTCGAAACTTTCTTTATTAAATATTTATCAGTGTTTTTATCAAATATCGATGATATTTTTAATAATAAAGCATGGAAAGAATTATGAATAAATTATTAATATTATATAATAATTATATTAATATATTATACAAAATATAGTACTGAATGACAAACTTTACAATTTCCCTGCAACCAATCGACTGTAAGCCATCTCTAAAGTGCAAAAGGTTAACATAAAAATACAACGAAACAATTAACAAACCGTTCACCTAGAACACTCACCTGTACAGTATCCAGTAATCGAAACATTGACATAGCAGCCACGTGACGTCAGAGTTCCCACACATTATCTAATCACGCCGGCGATGTCTATGATTCGCACATTCCCCGAACATTGCATCAACATTTCGACGGTTCATGTTCACCGTGCACAACGCCAACGAACAACGACAAACATTTATTCGCATCATATAAAGAGAAAGATAAGTAAAAGTAATGTTTAAATTAGTTGACAAAGTTCGTCGCGGTTCAATCGCTCCTCATCATCAAGGATATTAACGCGGCAGTCGGTGAATCCCAAAGTCGTCAATTATACTAGTTAACCTGGCCAGTTATTGTTAATTAATTGATCGTTACACGGTTTACTTACGCAAATTAGTTTGCATTATGCGGATATTTAATATGCAATTTTCATTTTCGCGGGCGCCGCTGAATCACTTAAAACGCAATTTCGCCGGCCGGCTGGCCGGCTGGGCGGGCCGGGCGTAAATATTCATGTAATTTTGATGCAGTCCATTTAATGCGGCGCGATTAAAAATCATTTAACGAGACAGATTTTCAACGCTGTAATTATGTGCCTGCTGCCTATCCCCAAAACCCCCGTCCCCTTTTAGCTGCCGTTAGGACGCCGAATGAAACACGGGCCTAGCCGTGGATCGCGCGACGAAATAAATATTATGGCGAAACACTGCCGGTCCGCCTCCATAATTGCTTCATCCCTTTCGCGGGGGTATTACCGACGCTTAAGAAAGCCCGAGATTGCGTGGGATGCGAAGCAGAAACTAACTTTCGACTTCCCGCAGTCATAATTGGTGTAAAAGCTCTCGATCATTATTAATGCTCGGCCGGGATCGACCCGCAATCGGAATTTCTGCCAAAGCTCGGAACTGCGAGGGAGAAAAGGGTGAAACTTGCAGCGGTGAATTCGTGATAGAAAACTGGCTGGGAGAAACAAAACTGGTAAAAATGTAAAATATGGACGCGCAACGAATGGTAAATAGAGTGAACGGATCAAGGAAAGGGACTGGTTGCGACTGAGTGTTCCACGTTTTTGTAAGAAATATTTTGCTAAGCAAATAGAAAAATAACCGTAACGGTGCTAGGTGACAATAAAGTTACCATTTGTAAAGAAAAAAGGTTACATTAGAAACTAATGCAAAGTATTATTAAATGTTTCTTGGTATATTTTCTTTTGGGAACAAGAAGCAATAGACAATGAATGTTAAAGAAATTAACGCGTACAAAGAAATAAAATTACGTTGAAAACTACAGTAACAATTTACTAGATTCCAGCGACGCTTGACCGATGGCAATGACCTTCGTAAAATAACACACGCAGTAACCGTACCGGCGCAAGGGGACGCGGATACAACCGAGCCACCGTTACGAAAATGATGTTTGTATAATTTTCAATTTAGCGGCCACCGTCCCGCGAGTCGGCCGCGCCTGCCATATGAAAATTCAGGTGATCACGAAAAAGAAACAACGGTTCACAATTTGCATTCGGGACGAGTGACGAGGGACCGAGCAGAAAAATCAACGTAACCGTCAACGAAGCGGGTTGCCCCTGTATCTAGCACTCACAAACCCCACAACTTCACGAATCGAAGAAGGAATCAACACCCCGGGTA